TCAGCAGCAAGCTACGATCGTTTTATCCTACCATATCTCATGGTGGTCCGCGTGCAGATCGCGAGATAAGTATGATTAACACTTATGATAAATTGATAATAAATTATTGTATGATGAGGAAATAAATTGGAAACTCAATAATATTTTGTTTTGCGAGGGGAGGTGAACTGATAAAGGAAGGAGGCGTAAAGTGCTAGTAAAAATGGAACCTTTAGAAAAACATGGTTTTGTCTTGTCTATTTAGGGTGTAGCTAAGGTAACACTGTGCTTAGCGGGCAGTGTATTGTCATTCTAAAGAAGAATCCCAGTGTGGAATTTTCTTGTGAGATAAGAGTATGTTTCTGAATTGTCATAAACCAATCTTGTTTACTGCATTATCTTTTTCTAGCTCCCCCCTCAATTTGGTTATGGAAAGGATGAATGTTCTGTCCCTGTACTTCACAAGTTCAATGTTTTAGCAATATAACACGAGTAATACTGTTCTTTTCATTTGGCTGCTACAAAATTACATAAAATCAGGACCTCCACCCCCTTACACGTACAAAAAAAGAATTTACTCCTCAATCCCAAAGGAATTACTACTATAAGAGTCTAAGGACTACTTTATTTCTATGTATAAATAATAGATCTTGAACTCTCTTAGCTTCTTTATGTGTTTAGGTCTTTATATTGGTTCCGTTAGTTTAGTCAATGCTATTAACACGGAATTAACTACAATTATTTTTCAAGTGACTTGATTGTGTAAATACTTTTTACAAGTGCATATAATTTAAACTCATTTGAAATCTAACATAAATCCTTCCATCTAAACTTTAACTCAATTAGTTTTCCTTTTCCTTACTGTTCCAATTTCATTTTCCTTTCCCTTTTACCTCTACTTTTTCCTTGTGAAATCCTTCCATCTGAATGTTGTCAAGACCTTATAGCACTTAATGATGATGAAGATGGGCTTTGACCGGAAAGGGAAAGAAGTTGATGTTTCACGAATTTCAGCATTTTTCTTTTTGGAAGTTCAGAGTATCACTTTACCCTTTCCTCATCTACTCTACTCCATTGCCAAAAGATAAATTTTTCTTTTTCCTTTATTTTGGAGGTTCTTTTTCAGCATATTATACTCTTGATAACGTGGGAATGGACTGTGAACAGTATATAGTTCTGCAATGCAATGGGTTACCTTTTTGTTTTATTTGATAATACCCATATGCATGATTGATTGAAAAGACAAGAAATGGATTTGAATATATGATTCTGCAGAAATTATCCTTCCTCTTTACGTCATCATATTTAACACTAATTAACAGTTCTTTTGCATGAAACTTTAGTAATCATCATTACCACCAAAGACTTTGAAAAAAAATAGGAATGGAGTTATGGTGCATATTGAAATGAGATTTAGATGAGACAAGTGATTGATTTCCCAGTTTTAGGTGAGTATAAAGGAACTTAGGTGTTGTTAGTTGCAAAAATGTAGTCATTCTGAATGTTTGATTAGACCTGCATTTTTGCCTTTTCACCTTATCCCTCGAGACACTAGGACAACGAGATTATGTGTGGTGGCACATACTGATGGACAATATTTAGGTTTTTTAACTGAAACTGAAACTTCTATCGATTAATGTCATTAGCCCATAATGCTAGTACACATCCGAGGTTTCACGTCTTGTGGATTAATTCTTGTGAAAACTATGGTTCCAAGTCAAAGAATAAGTCAAAAGACTTCTCTAGCTACTCAACGATTGACATATTTTCTGAACTCACACATAATGTGTCTTTCTTTTCATTCATTTCTATTCTAAACTCTGTTTTCGAAGTCTGAAAAGAGCATACCTGGTAGTCATTCAACCAAGAAAATCAACCAAGGTAGTTGCTGTGTTTGATTTAGATAGTTGTGATGCTTCAACCTCAGTTTAAGAATGGTTCAAATTCTGTGAGCTTTACTTACGGGAACTAATATATATATATATATATATATATATATATATAAACGGCCCCTTTAAGTTGTCCTTAACGATCAAACAAACATCTTAACCGAGTCATTTACCATTTAGACACTTCAACTGGCTATTAAGTATCTCAAGTAAACACACATTACTGATGTGGCATATGCGTGTTTGCTAACAAAGTGTTGGGCGCGTGGAGTATTTTTTCAACAGTCAAATCAAAGAAAAATTAATTAATTACAAGAAAATTCGAAAAAATAAGAAAATTTTGCTTGGTGCTTCTTATGCATCTTTGGTCTACATTATCTGGTATTAAAATTCTGAATTGATCTAAATATAATCCTTACCATTGCTCTACAATTCAAATTTTGAAAGAAGTATTCGAAACCCATCAAAACTCTCAAATTTGGAAAGAAGTCTTCGAAACCCATCACAACTCTTGAAATGTGAGTTCGTGTTCCATCTTTCTTCATTGTCCACCACTGTGGAAGAAGCTGGGTTTTTTCGATCAGAAAGTTGGAGGTCGAAATTGATTGGGTGTTTAAAACCTTTGTTGTAAACTTCTTTGTGAAACAGAATCTACATATTTAGGTCGATCGGAGTTGATTCGATTGGCTTTGGTTCGAAATTTTTGAAGTCTATTCGAAGAAGACAACGACCAGGTCTTTTGATTTTTTTGTTGCTTGTAAAAATTGGGTATTGTCGTTTGATATCGGTGTTGATTAGAGTTCTTATTTCAAGTTTGGACTCATTTGGTGAAATAACGACTGAGATTGGATTGAAAAATTTGAGCAAGTCAGAAGAACGCCGAAGAAAACTGCTATATTCTTCAATTTTTAAAATTGGGCTTAAAGTAGCGTAGCTGAAGCATTTAGTCCGTAGCTATGTTTAATTTGTTGGGAGTTAGGATGCAGGTAAATTTGGAGAAAGGGAATGGGGGAAAGCTGATGGGTGAAAACAAGAAGATGGAAAAGGGGGGGGGGTGGGGGGGTNTGTCAGTTGGGTTTAGGTTAAATTAAAAGGTAAGGTAAATTTATTATTATTTATTTATTTTGTACTTTAAACGTTTNTTTTTTTTCTTTTTTTTTTTTTAGTTAATTACTAAATTCGGTCGTTGTTTCGTTTTACTTAAGTTTGGTTTCTATTTGAACCACTATTCTAGTTAGACTAAGGTTACGTTAACCTCCGACGCTAATTAGTTTAGGTTTTGATCGGTCCGCGTCGTAGGTTTCGTTTTAACTTAGTAAAATTACTTAATACGCCTACTTGAAGTTGTACTAAAATGTAAATGAGTACGTAAGTTTAAGTTGTTTTAGTTTAATTACGGTTAAAGTTAATAAACGTTAAGGTCGGTCCGTTTATGTTATTCAGCAGGTTATCTATATGATATGCAGAGTTCTTATGAGCATGATTTCTATATATATATATATATATATATATATATATATATATATATATAGAAGTTTTACATTATCTGTGTATTATTATATGTTGAAAAAGGTACCTGTCTTAATTTTTCAAATCACTAATTCCATGTACAGACAATCACTTTTTATTTTTTAAGAGATATATATTTAATAAAATAAAAATTTATCTATACTAGCAATATATTGAGGTTAAATTCGTTCATAAATTCTTAGCGTTCATCCGCTAGAGTTTATTCACCGTTAAGTCAATGTCGTTGATATCCAACTCAATAGGTGACAGTTACAAATTGGGTAATTTTTATAACTAGGCAAGTTTTGAAACAAAACTTTAGCAATAGTTCCACTATATCACCTGCTGGCAAGTAAATAACTTGAATATATAACAATGAAAGGAAATTGAAATTATAAGTCAGTGCCACTTTTCCTTATTTAGCTTGGGCCTGTTAACATCTGAGTTCAAGGTCCATGAAAGGCTGGGTTCTGCATCTACGAATTTAATTGGATTGGGCTTCACAAGTTCTTAGGTCTATGATCCTTAAACGATCACTGAATGTGAATGAATACAAGTTTTACTCTCTCTATCATTATTTGTTTGAAATAGCTGACTCCGTTCCTTCTCATCTTACTAATAACGGATAACAAGTACACACGTATGCCTACATGAGTTAGTAGTTACGTGTCAGGTAGACATATGGGGTTGGCACATATCTATCAAAAAACACCTAGATACTAAGCTAACGTTTGGACATAAATTTACTTGAAACTTGAAAGAAAAAAAAGCCTTTTGAAGATGAAATGAAAAATAATTTTTAAAAATTGAATTTATATTTAGACATGAGTTTGAAATTTTATGAATAGATAACTTCAAAAACTTGAAAAAAAACTAGTCTAAGCTAGCGTTTGGCCATAGATCACAAATTTGTTTTGAAAAATTTGATTTGGGTGAAGTTTGGTTTGAAGATGAAAATGTGTTTGGATATACGTTTTCAAAATATATTTTCCAACTTTATTTTGGATAAACATGTATATAATTCCCAAGTTTTGGGATTTTGGCCCAAAATCAGCTCAATAGCTGATTTTGGGATTTGAAATTTGGGATTGGGATTTGGCCAAAATATGGGCAAAATTTATGGCCAAACATAAGTTTTGAAAATAAATCCCAAATTTATTTTGGCAAAACTCATGGCCAAACGGGGCCTAAACCATATTTTGAAACTTGAAATATTCATCTTCAAAAACTGCCCAAAAGATGGTCACTTTTTATAACCAAACAATGTTCTCAATTTTTTTTGAAAAACAAAAAGAAGTAAAAAGATTTATCTCCGAACGGAAGCGAAGATTCTTCAGTGCAACTACTATTACAAGTGAAGGAAATTGGAGCTGAAAAATCGGAAGAGGAAAATTTTCGACTAAAACACTGTCAGCTTACCGCCAACATAACATTACAAAACAATGCTGTATGTCTACCGTACAACAGACCTCTTCGCATTCCAATCTTTTGAAAAAGAACCCCAGGGATCCAAAGATAGTGTGTCCACACACCAAGCAAACACCGGAAAATAAGTTTTTTAAAAACCACTTAGAGACATTTTCCATGGAAAATATTTCTCCTCATAGCGCACACACTGTTAGCTAACACTGTAAGATAGTTATTTAATTAGTCGCAATAAACTTATTTTAACCCAGCAAAAGGACCGGTAAATCCTCCCATGATATTGGCCAAACAAATCTATTTTGTATACAGAATCAGAGCTAAAAGTATAATTTCATGATTTCCTCTATAGCATGAACTCTTCTCCATTTAAACTAGACGATGACATGAACGCAAGGTGGAAGTGTAAACTCCATCATTAGCCAATAATGGTAGGGATATATCTTGTACTAGGAGAATTGAAAACAACATTTCATGGTACTATTCGTTACTTGCGAGCTTCCACTTTCTTCTGTTCTTTGGCTGCACAGAAACAAGTGCAAGCATTAACCCCTAGCAGAGAAGAAAGAGAATCTTAGACGACCAACGTAAGAATTTAAGAAAGTACCAGCTTTCTCCTCCTCTCGCTTTTTTGCAGCTTCTGCTCTTTGTTGACGTATGAGAGCCAAGCGGTCTGCAAATTATGAAATTAAAATTAGGAGAAGAACTTTATGAACAACAGTTGAAGGAGTACCAGTTCAAATTGGTGTTTCAGTCCATGGAACATCATTTCAAAGTTCATCACCCCAAAATTGTACAATGAAACAGCATAAAAGCAACATATTTTACATTAATAAGCTCAACCAGATGACAAGTGATCCATTTCGATCTTCGTCACTCAGATAGTCCCTCCCATGACTATATATTTACAAAATGTCATCACAGATTCAAGTATGAAGTAGCATGGCACTTGAATATCAAAATTATGCCAACATTTACTAGCAATGAGAAACACCTCAATCCGTCAACCCAACACCTCAACAAGCAGTGAGTAAAGAGAATTAACCACAAGACAGGACAACTTTAAGCAAAACAAATGTAGTACACTGCTAGAGTGTAGCTCAGTGGTATTACCTAAATCTTTCCTAGCTTGCTCCGTTTTTCCTTGTTCCTGCAGCCTCATGTACCTTTCATGAGCTTGCTGTTTCTCTATCTCTTCCCTGTGAGCAAGAACCATGTAAATAAAGAAGGCGTAAATTAACAGTGTCATAGAAGTTAAAAGAATCAGAAGCCAACTGGACCATATGTCACCAGATATACTACTGCTTTGCATGAATCTTTAACAGAACTAATACACAAGACTTAAGATATCTCTTCCGACTTTTAGCTTGACTCTGAACATCCGAATGAGCAGAAAAGATACAAGCAATATTATTATCAAAATATAACAATAATAGAAAGCTAAAATTGTTCCCGCTGTATACAGTATTCAAGTTCAGCAGCATTCACTGGGCCCAACAGTTAGACAAGTAGCTGGAATATGGGACAGAACAAGAGTATTTCCCCACACAAAGAAATAGCTGGATACATGCAACAATGGCCTAGGAATATGGTCTTGTCACAGAGAATAATAACTTATCTCAGTTTACGTTCAGTCCCTTAAGGTGTCGAGGAGATTTGGCAGCATGATCTTCCTAAATGCCGACAGAATTCTAGCTAAAGGAGTAACTTTGGAAGAGATATTCCCTGGACATTCACTCTTATGAAGGTTGACAGTATGTAAGAGGACCAATCCCTATCATCTTTGAATAAACAAATACCAGCATCGTACCACCCTATCTCCTAATCCCTTCCCACCCCACCCCACTCTTTTCTCATTAAAGAGGGAGCGGACAGTTTAAAAAATTGTTGATGACCAAGAAATCACTGAGGGCCAATGGCGCATGGTTCGAGACTCGGGTGGGTGCAGGGCAGTAGAAAACTTATAACAGGAAACAAAAGAATATAGAGTGGTCGTTGAAACACAAGAACAGAAAAGGGAGGGGAGGATTCATGCCAAGCATATAGCAGGCACACATGGAATCCCAGTCCGCGACTTCGTAGGGATCATATTGTAAAGAAACACAAACAAAAGCTGCATTATACCTTTCACGTCGCGAAAGCTCAGTTGTTTTCTCAATCTGCATAAGAAAAGGCCATCATTCAAATTAACATCCAAAAAGCAATATCTATTGAACAAAGGCAAGTGCACCCTGCCGATCTTACATCAACATTTTTAGCTTTCACGTTCTTTGGCTTGACCAAATTGGGGTTCTCAATCTCAATGATACCCTGAGTACCTTTCTTCTTCTGTTTACAACAACAAAAAGAACATAAAATCCAATCAATACATTTCAAAGCCACAGAAAGCACAAAGGATTCGTCTTTGATAGTGAGAATACAAATAGCCGACCTCAACTAACTTGGAATTGAGGTATAGTAGCTGTTGTAAATCAATTTACTCTTCTTTTTTTGTAAGTAAGCAATGAATCATAGATAACTGACCTCTCCATCAGAATCTTCTTCAGATTCCTCTTCAGACTCCCCAGATCTCTCTTCTTCCTCAATTTCAGCCTCTTCCTGAATAGATTACATAAAACACATGGATTAGAAGTTAAGCACAAAAACAATAATCATAAAAGACATTAGATGTCATCAGAAACCAGATAGTTCTTTGGATTCAATCCACCAATCAAGTTAAAAGCACAAAACGATAATTTTGATTTACTGAGAAAAAGTAACATCTTAGAACACAAGTACGTCAAAAAAGTAAGCATAAAAAAGACAGGCTTAAAAGGGTATTTCTGCGAGTGATTTAAGCTACTAGTAAGCAACAAAAAGAAAACAGTGTTTACAAGATAATCATAACCTATTTGCTCACTCACCAAAAAGGTGGCTGACTGAAATCATTTCTATTGCATCAAGAGAACAGGTTCATACACCACATATCGTATTCTCTAACTGTAGGAAGACTCTTCTCTTTGCACAATAAAAAGGTCATAGAAATAACTATCATTTCACAAGGTTATGTTTTCAGAAATAAGTCATGAAATTATGATCGTCATTCGCCAAAGCAATTCATACAAAAAAAAACCCAGAATATGTTGTGGCTGACCGAACAGTGATACCCCTCCTAATTGAACAAGTATGCATAGGCTAACGTATAAGAAACAGAAGATATATGTATTAGGAGCTTATAAAAACTAAAGGTTAAGACATTCACCTGCCTAAACGTGCGAGGACGTCGAGCAGAAGTACCAGCAACTGCAAAAACACAGCAAATATCAGAACAAACTTAGCCAACCATGTCCAGTTCGTTCAGACTTGAGGGAGGGGGAAATACAACGTAGCACCATGACTAACAGGCACCAGAACAAGGAGGGTAAGGGTGGCAAAAATTAGAGTGAGTTCATCATGCATGAATGACCCAGGTTCTTGTTTTTTTTACATCAACTGCTATGATAGGATGAAAAGGAGAGGTAGTGATGTGTTGCAAATCAGAACTCCTCTAGTTTGTGTTATACATAATGTGTAATGCCTAAGGGAATCCTTACTCCACCACTAGAGTGCATAAACACTTCAATCTGATATTTCAAGATACTACAGCTATATTGCACCAGGCATGAAGTGAAAACAGAGTTTCAACTTATTAAAATATTTTATACAGCGCAAAACGTGAACTATTTTAAGCTTTTCTCATAAACTAGTTTTCTCCTTCCAACTTTCACTCTTTATATAGAAATCAGAGAACATCAAAGTAAACCACTGATAGCATACTCACAGAAGGTGCACTCAGTTCACCTAGATAAGAATATACAATTAATTCGGAATCGACGCATAGTTAAATCGGCTAATGTTCTAACTAACTAACTAGCGAGAATAAGCAATCCTTCTCATAAGTAAAATTTCGTATCTAACTCAAGAGTTTCAACATCTTTTATTAAAAAGAAAAAAGAATTAGATGTTCCAGTTACTAATTGTAAAAGAAGCGTAAAATCAAGCTAGCTTCACCTAAGATATTTCAATTCTCCTAAGAAATCTAACATTAAAAAAATTAACGGAACAATAATCACAAAAGGTATACCTCCACTCTCTAATTGACATTTTTAACAAAATTAAAACAGCTGGAATTCCACACATACACACACAAAGACAGACAAAAGGTATAGATCTCAAAAGTTATGTATAAGGAAGGTAAAGGGCGCATACTCATCTCCTCGGGAGTGGAGAACTGGCGACGGCCAGTAGGCTTTCCTTTGAACTTTCCTCTTCCCATTGTTTTCGCCTGAAAGTTTACTCACTGGAGAAAGAAGGAAGCCGAATTGAAGATAGAAAATCGAAGGGTTTGCTACTCTTCGGACTTCCTTCTTTCTCTACGCAATAATGTTTTTAAAAAGAAAAGAAATAAGTGGAGAAAAAACCCTAATTTGTGTGTGGGTGGGGAATCTTATGGAGCGACTACTCGGACATTAGAAAGTAACTGTGAGTGGGAATAGAACATTAATAGCGTTTCTTTGCGATTTATGGGTACCACAGAAATAGGAATACTTTTACAATTTTAGACCTGGAATAATTCACGCATTTATATTTGATCCTCCACCTTCTAAATATTAAAGTGTTCTTTAATGAAAAAAGTAAAGATTTTTCTAATAAGATGTAGAAAAGAGAGAACAAAAGCTAACAAAAGAGAAAATTATAATGCTCTCAGCGCACGTTAGCTAACGTACGCTGACGCGGCTGCCATGAGAAGAGGGCGAGGTTGTGGACGAGGAAGACCCAGAAAACCACCCATAATCGCGTTCGGAAGCTCAATTAGTACTAGAACACAGGCAACAAAATTGAGTCAACCACATGAATAATATCTGTCGACGCCGAAAAATGCTGAAGGTGACGATGAAATCAATGGGAAGTGAATCAACATCGAAGAATACTGGGCTAAGTTAGCAATTGAATTTAAGTGCTCCTCTATCGATTACTCAGAAGAAACAGTCAAACAAGGAGAAATTCCCTGAGAAAATAAATGGAACAGTAACTGCACCTAACCCTAACTTGGAGATTGGGTATGTAGGTAACAAAAACAAAGGAAAAATGCATGAGCAGGAAGTGATAAGTGCAACTGAACCAATTGAACCTAACATAGATGCGATTGAGAGTGAAAAAACCCAGGTGCCTATCACCGAAACAAACAAAGCCACCATTAGAGGGCCCAAGCCTTGGGCAAGTCTATTTCAGCAAAACAAAGCAGCAACACATGGGATGGCACTCAGCTATATTCCACCAGCAATAGTGGATGGAAAAACAGTGATGAAGCTGGAATTACAGGATGTAGCAGAAGAGGAAGAGAAATGGCGATGTGCTATGATTGCATATATAATAGGAGAACATCTTGGATACAATGCAATGAAAAGATATATAGCTCAACATTGGCTGGACATTGCTGAACCAGATATATTCCTACACGAGGAGGGATACTATGTTATTAAATTCCAGTCGATGGATGATTTGCATAAAATCCTATATGTTGGTCCCTATACCATCAGCAACAGACCGATCATCCTGAAACCTTGGACACCTGACTTTGATCTGAGCAAAGAATTCCTCACAGAAATACAACTGTGGGTGATCTTACCTAAGCTTCCAATGAATTGCTGGGGGAGTGCATCTTTAAGTAAGATTGCTAGTGCAATTGGGAAACCATTATTTGTTGATGGGTGTACAACCAAGCAAACAAGGATCCCATACGTGAGGATGCTGATTGAAACTAATGTAACCAAAGCCTTGCCAACAGAAGTCACTGTCAATGATCCTAGAGGAAAGCAATTCCAACAGAAATTGGTGTATTAGTAGAAACCAATTTACTGTGACAAATGTCAGGCTATTGGGCATAAATGTACCAATCAACAAGGACCTAGAATACAGCAAGAGGAGCAACCTAGAAGAAGAAGAGAACCAAAAAATGTTACTTATGAATGTAGAACTAAAGGACCTGTGGCAATAGCAGCAAAACATGAGGCAGTAGCAGCAGAACCTCAAGGAGATCAAAATGGGATATCCACTGTAACGCAGCAAAGCCGGAGTATCCCTCAAGTTGAGACTCCAAAGATCTCCCAACTAAAAGAAGGTAGAGTATCAAAGAAACCTGAAATACAGAAAGATAAGGATAAGGAGATGAGTAGTCCAGCATTGAACTTGATCAACTTTCCAATACTATCACCCTCTACATGCATGAATGACATGGTGGATTCAAGAAGGGGTCGTGGTGTAAGCCAGTCCTTGCCTCATGACAGAGGAGGGGACAAACATCACACATAATGACTTGGTTATTCTGGAATGTCAGGAGTATGAATAAATGGTATAAGCTGAAGGAACTGAGGAACTACTTGAAAGCCAATAATATAAAGCTAGCTGGTATCGTTGAGACTAGAGTAAAGGAGCACAAAGCAAGTAGAATAAGTAGTTATATTGCACATGGCCACATGGCTGGGATGTAATACAGAATTATAGTCATGCTATTAATGGAAGGATTCGAATTTTGTGGGATCCTAGCTACTATACAGTTACCTTGATAAGGACAAAAGCACAAATTTTACTACCTATTCAAAGGAACTGCTGGGAATATCGATTGTTACCTGACAGTAGTATATGTATTTAATATTCTTGATCAAAGGAAACTCCTATGGGATAACTTGAAAGGGATTGCTAAAGGAATCACTAAAACATGGCTGATTGGTGGTGATTTTAACTCAATACTGCACACACAAGATAGACTTCATGGATGTACAGTTAGCAGTGCTGAGATCAGGAATTATGCCAATTGTATACAAGCAATGGGGCTAACTGAGCTAACATGGGAGGGAGAATACTACACATGGTCTAACAAGCAACCTGGTTCAGATAGGATATGGAGTAGAATAGATAGGGTGTTTTGGAATTATGAACGGATGATGACATGGGGGCATATCAATATTATTTATGGTATGCCTTACATCTCTGATCACTCTACCATGACCTTAAAGCTAACTCTACAACAGAGAAGTGGGAAGTCACCCTTTAAGTTTTTCAATGTGTGGGCAGAGCATGAAGATTTCCTGAACATTGTGCAGCAACACTGGAATCAAACATTGATTTATAGGAAAATGAAAAACATCTGGCTCAAATTAAAATCTCTTAGACCACTACTCAAAAAGTTGAATATTCAAGAGTTCAAGTATATCAAGCAGAAGATTGAAAGAGCCAGGGCAGGCCTTATTAATGTACACGGAAGAACCTGTATACAATGCACAGATGATTTGCTAATAGAGGAGAGAAATGGGATCTACTGGAGGAAGGTGCTTCAATGCAAAAGGCCAGAGCAAAATGGATCAAGCTAGGTGATTCTAACTCCAAGTATTTTACAGCAGTGATCAAGGAAAAGACAGCATAAAAATCAAATAGTTGAACTGAATTCTATGACAGGAGATAAACTCAATGATTCTGCAAGCATCAAAGAGGAAATTGTAAGCTTCTACGAAGGATTGATGAGAACAGTTGCTCATAGGTTATCAGAAATTGACAAGAAGATAATGGAAAAGGACCCACTCTGTCACAACAACGGAGAATCTTATTGTGTAGGGATGTCACTAAGCAAGAAATCTATCAGGTTTTATGCTCTATTGGTGATGAAAAAGCCCCTAGTATGATGGATTTAATGCATAATTTTTCCAAAAAACATTGAGTGTCATCAAGAAAAAAGTCACTGAAGTTGTTACAGATTTCTTTACTACATGGAGCATGTACAAAGCTATTAACTGTACAGCCATCACTCTAGTGCCCAATACTCACAAGCCTAAGACAGTTAAAGAGTTCAGGCCAATTGCATGTTGCATAGTCCTATATAAGCTTATCTCCAAGATTTTAGCTTCAAGACTCCAAGCTATTATCTCCACTGTTATCAGTGATTCACATTCTGGATTATTCCAGGAAAAAAGAATACAGACAATGTCATCCTTGCACATGAATTGGTTAAAGCCTATTCCAGGAAACATTCCTCTCCCATATGCATGATTAAGATTGATCTCCAGAAGGCTTATGATTCTGTTGAGTAGCCCTATTTGAAAAAATTTATGGAGTAGCTGGGATTCCCTCAGTTATTCATTTCTTGGGTTATAGAATACATACAGACTGTGAATTACTCTATTGTAATTAATGGTGAACACTCAAGACCTTTCAATGCTACCAAGGGTCTCAGACAGGGTATCCCAATGTCACCCTTCCTATTTGCAGTGGTAATGGAATATCTGAGTAGAATTTTATAGGATCTTAGGGCAAACAAGGAGTTCAAATATCACCCTAGATGTTCTAAACTAGGAATAACACACATGTGCTTTGCTGATGAGTTATTGCTTTTTGCTAAAGGTGATGCAGTATTAGCGAACCCAATCTACCAGAAATTTACAAAGTTCACTACAGTATCTGGCTTGCAAGCAAATCAGACCAAAAGTGCAGTATATTTTGGGGGAGTCACAACAACAGACAACAAAAGATTCTACTTTAACTAGGCTTCAGTATTGGAGATCTTCCTTTCAAATATCTTGGACTTCCCTTGTCTACAAAGAAGATGAGTATCATGCAGTGATAGCCTCTAATAGATAACATGATAGCAAGAATCTCTTCATGGACTGCATGCAAACTCTCTTATGCTGGAAGGATTCAACTAGTTCAAACTTCAAACTGTACTCATTGGGATACAAACTTTCTGGACACAATTGTTTATCATTCCTACTAAGGTGATAAAAATAGATTAAAGCATATATCGATCCTATGTTTGGTCAGTAGCTAATGTGGTCACAAGGAAGGATCTTTTAGCCTGAGATAAGGTCTGCCTACCAAAAGTAGGGGGGGTGTCACGACGCATTTCCAAAAATAGATCGGGATGACGCCCAACACCATTATCGGGCAAGCCAACGCGGAAAAAGTAATTTAGTTCTCAGTTTTGTTTTTACCCAAAGTAAGCATAAAAATTCATAAAGCTCAAGTCAAATAAAAAATGAACAATAATATGCCAAAATAGTTACACAATCCCCAAAATGATAATCTACTAACGTGTGTACCAAAACCTGGTGTCACAAGTAATGGGCAACTAGTAGAATGTACAAAATAAATAAACTATCCTACTGTCTGAGATAGAATAGACAGCAAAAGTAAGGAAAAGACTCCATCAAGCTGCTGAACGTCACAGAAAGGGGCAGCTCACCGTGGAAGTGTCAAGCTATGAATCAGGGGTGCGCACCAAACTGATAGCCAGATGTACCTGCCTCAGACCCTGTACAATTAAGTACAGAAGCGTAGTATGAGCACATAAACAACATGTACCCAGTGAGTATCCCGTCTAATCTCGAAGAAGTAAAGACGAGAGGTCAACTTGATACCACTAGGGTCAAATAATATAATAAGTTTTTATGCTAAACACGGGAGCCACAGAAAAATCAACAGTATATAGCAAAAGATAATAAGTCAAGTTCTAAACAGCTTTGCAGTCAACCAATCACATTTCAATTATTTAACAGGACAAGTCATAGATGAAGTTTCACATAAGTACCATGCGCACATTATGCCGAGGTCGACGGCCCGATCCAACAAAAAATAAACTGTACACTGCCAGAGGGTCGAATGGCACGAACCATAGATGCATCTATTTCTACCGAGGCGATCGGCCCGATCCACAAATATCAATTTATATCAAGAAAAACACATTAGTGTGCATTTATTTCCAAGTAAATTCATACAAGTATCCACAAGCATAAACACTCGCTTATTTCCCTTTCCCTGACTCTAGCATATCCTAAGTGGTCACATTAGCAGGAAAAATATAGAAACAATCGCCAATAAAGCATGATATGAGTCCTAGTCTACCCGGACAATTAACATAGTAGTAGCTACGCACGGACTCTCGTCACCTAGTGCGTACGTAGCCCTCGCATTTAGTAGAAAATAACTCAATTATTGTACCTATGGGGACAATTTCCTCTTACAAGGTTAGAAAGGAAACTCACCTCGCCCCAAAGTACACTTCCAATGCCAACAACGAGCCCAAACCCTCAATTCGGAGTCGAACGATCCAAAACTAGTTAAATGAGGTTGGAACTAGTCAATATAAGTTCACAAGATTGTATTCTAGCTATTTAAGCAATTTCCCAACCCTTACCACAAGTTTCTAAAAACCCGACCCCGGGCCCATGTGCCCGGATTCCGAAAGTTTTCGAAGGAAGTAGTTCTCTATAACCTAAGGATCATTAATATATAATTTCTAGTTCATTTCATAATAAATTTCGTGGTAAAATCTAAGTTTTATTAAAACCCTAGGTCTAGCTCTAACCCCTTGATTTCTTCAAATCTTTAGGTGTTAATCTACCCAAAACTCGAGTGTTAAACTTAGAAATAAGGGGGATGAACTTACCTCACGATGCTATGTGAAAATCCCTTCTCAAGAGCTCCAAAATCGCTCAATGTCCGTGTGCCAAATGGTCAAATGGCTGGAACTCGAATTAAATGAAGCTCACTGCCCAGCAGTTTTCGCTTCTGCGGTCAGGGGACCGCATCTGCGGTCTCGCATCTACGAGAAAGGACCGCACCTGTGAAATTGGCTAAAAGTACTGGGACCGCTTCTGCGGTCTTGAAGCCGCACCTGCGTAGCCGCTTCTGCGATTTGGCCTGGCCAGCTCTAGGCCGCATCTGCGATAGATGGACCGCATCTGCGGTCCGGTACCTGCGGTCCACCAACCGCAGGTGCGGTTATGACAGAAGCAGCAGCTTCAGCACTTCTAAAAAATTTCCACTTCACTCGAACCTCGTCTGATTGACGCTCGGGGCTCCCGGGCCCCGCCCGAACATACCGGCAAGTCTGAAATCACGAAAAGGACTTACTCGAACCTTCGGAATACCCGAAACAACGCTAAATCTAAAAATCACCCCCTAAAACCAATTGAATCAAACTTATGAACTTCAAGCTCTTAATTTTCCTCTAACTGGCCATAACGCTCTTAGGCTACTCGGATTGATACCAAATTTTGTGGGCAAGTCTTAAATGTTATATTGGACCTGTACTAGGATTCGGAACAAACATACGAGCCCGATACCAACGTGATCAATCATTAATTAGTTTTTTAAATCCATAGAATTCCAGTTTAACAATTTCCAATAAAAATTCATTACTCGGGCTAGGGACCTCGGAATTCGATTCCGGGCATATGCCCAGGTCCCATATTTTCCTGCGGACCCTCCGGAACAGTCAAAACCCGAATCCGAGTCCGTTTGCTCAAAATGTTGACCAAAGTCAAACTTAGCCTTTTAAGAAAATCCTAAGGAGTCAAATGTGCATATTTCAATCCAAACTCTTCCAAATCCCGAACCAACCATCCCCGCAGGTCATAAATTAGTTAAAGCAAGCACAGAGAGTGTTATTTGGGGGAACGGGGTTCTAAAAAGGCAAACGACCAGTCCGGTCGTTACATCCTCCACCTCTTAAACAAACGTTCGTCCTCGAACGGACATATGAAAGTACCTGAAGTGCTGAATAAATGAGGGTATCTGCTCTGCATGTCCTCCTCGGACTCCCAGGTCGCCTCCTCGACTGGTTGGCCCCTCCACTGGACTCTCACTGCAGAAATTCTCTTGGACCTCAACTGGTGATCCTGTCTTTCAATGATGGCAACTGGCTCCTCCTCATAACCCAAACTCTCGTCTAGCTGAATAGTACTGAAGTCTAACACATGGGATAGGTCGGGATGATACTTCCGAAGCATCAATACATGAAAAACCGGATGAACTCCCGATAAACTCGGGGGTAAAGCAAGCTCATAGGCAACCTCCCCAACTCGTCTCAACACCTCGAAGGGGCCAATAAACCTTGGGCTCAACTTGCCCTTCTTCCCGAACCTCATAATACCCTTCATTGGCGAGACTTTCAAGAGAACCTTCTCGCCAACCATGAATGATACATCACGCGCCTTCTGATCCGCATAACTCTTCTGTCTGGACTGAGCTGTGCGAAGCCTTTCCTGAATCAACTTCACCTTGTCCAAGGCATCTTGCACCAAATCTGTACCGTATAACTTAGCCTCACCCGGCTCAAACCACCCGATAGGAGAACGACACCGCCGACTGTACAAAGCCTCGAATAGGGCCATCTCAATGCTGGACTGGTAGCTGTTGTTGTACGCAAACTCCGCCAAGGGCAAGAACTGGTCCCACTGCCCCCCCCCCCCAAAGTCAATCACATATGCTCTAAGCATATCCTCCAGAATCCGAATCGTCCGCTCGGACTGTCCATCGGTCTGAGGATGGAATGTCGTGCTAAGCTCTACGCGGGTCCCCAATTCACTCTGAACAGCTCTCCAGAAATGGGAAATGTACTGAGGGCCTCTGTCCGATATAATGGAAACAGGCACACCGTGCAACCGGACTATCTCTCGAATGTAAATCTGAGCATACCTCTCTGCTGTATAAGTACTCGCCCTGGAATAAAGTGGGCCGACTTGGTCAACCTATCAACAATGACCCATACTGAATCAAACTTCCGCAAGGTCCGCGGGAACCCAACTACGAAATCCATGGTAATGCGCTCCCACTTCCACTCTGGTATAGGCATCTGCTGCAGTAGGCCACCCGGCCTCTGATGTTCATATTTGACCTGCTGGCAATTCAAACACCTAGCCACATACTCCAAAATATCTTTCTTCATCCTCCGCCACAATAATGTTGTCTCAAGTCACGATACATCTTTGTAGCTCCCGGGTGGATGGAATACCGTGAACTGTGTGCCTCCTCTAGTATCCTCCCCCTCAGACCATCAACATTAGGAACACATAGACGACCTTGGATCCGCAAGACACCATCCTCGCCAATAGAAACCTCCCTGAAGCACCGTCTCTCTAAGAACCGCCAGATGTGGATCATCGAACTGTCGGGCCTTTATCTCCCCCAATAATGAAGACTGAGCAACCATACACGCGAGAACCCGACTGGGCTCCGAAATGTCCAACCTCACTAGTTTGTTAGCCAAGGAC